GAGTTGCACTGAATCACTGCCATTGGGAGATTAAAAATATTCAAGGGAGTGAAAAACATGGTGGGCAAAATGGGTGCTGGATCAGAATTCCAGATCTTTATGGGTTTATTGCTTTTTGAAAGGGGACTCTGATTTCAAGCTCCGAGTGGATCGGGTTGGGTATATTTTTTGTGTTTCTGTTTTTAATTTTAAAGCTGAGTTTATGCACATGAACATTTTTTTAGGAATCCCTAGTTTATGGCAGCATTGGATACAATGTAGTTTTTTTTTTCTTTTCGACCCTTAAATGTTTTTTCTAAACGAAACAATTAACGCCTGAATCAGCTCACACGCAAGTTTCCAGTCATCTGTGACAAACGCAGAGAATGTAACAAGGTAGAACACAACGCTTTGATTATAAGATAAAGAGGAGGGGGAAAAAAGACGAAAATGTATTCCATAATGGGGAAACTCGCCTTTGAGCTTTGCGTGCATTGTTATCCTGTGCAGTAAACTTTCACTTGGAAAATAGTTTAAGCTCCACCGCTTCTGGGTTTGGCGCGTTCTGGTTTTGTGGTCTAGAGGGAGGGGGGTTAGCTCATGTGCACACTTTAGCCAATGTGTGTACTTGCAAGCAAAGTACTAGCTAGCTTGTGCTGACGAAGCTGAATAACTATCGGTACTCGAAACAGGACTTTGTGGCCAGCCAACTGGATAGAAAATTTTCATCATCAAAAATGTTAAAATTATATTAGGTGTAGGTTAAGTTGTTTCAATTCTACTGCCCGTGTGATATTGTTCTCTTTAGCACTTTTTAAAATTTGCTAGTATTGTTAAATTTAAATATAGTTATTTGTCAAATTACGTTGAATTTTTTTCCCACCTTTTTCTTCTTCTTCGGGTGTTTCTATTGTTAGTTTTTTTCTGTTTGCCCACTCATTTTTTTCTTTTCCCCGTAACCGATTTTTTTTCTCTCTCTTCGTTTCTTCCGTTACGCATTGGTCAAATTTTTTTTCTCTTGTTCCTTGGCGTCGATCAAAATCGTTAACGACAGAGTTTTTTTACGAAGACGACGTGGCAATTAGATGGCAGCCCCCACAGCTGAGTCCGGGAAATCAAGTTGACGAGTCGAAAGAGCCCTTCTACACTTCCCTCTTTTTTCTCCACAATATCCCCCTACAACCGAGTGATCCTCTGTTTCATGATTTCAATGACCCCCTTTCATCCTAACCACACTAATTCGATCGAGAGGTTAACTGCTACAAGTAAATTAAGTACACTTTGATACTAAAATTTCGGTAATGGATCTCGTTCAGTTGGTAAACAACAGCTGATTTATACAGTTAAGGCTTTGCAGCGTATGATGTAGTGGGATTACTGTACAGTATAAAGTGCAAACTTTTAACGTCAATTTGTATCGTTAGGCGTAAGCCTTCTGAGCTCATGTTTGATGCGTCTGACCGAACGTATGGTTGCACTACTTAATCTCTAGTTTGCATATTTAGCTGCCAGATTTTATTTATTTGAAATATACAAAAGTGTTATTTTGTAATTTCAGGCGTTGACTTTCAGAGGCAGCACGTATAAAAAATCGTGTCTAACTAAACGCATGGTTGCACTACTTACTTAATCTCTGGTTAGAATATTCCAGTTGTTTTTCTTACATGTGACAGAAAAAAGTATTATTTTGTCATTTCAGGCGTGAATTTTTATAGCTAGCACTTATAAAAAAAAAACTTGGCTGACCGAATACACAGCTATACTACTTAATACTAGTACAGTCCAGATAAATTGAACAAATGTTGCATAGAGCTTTTGCCATGTGTTTATCCATACCATTGAACTTTTGACATTAGTATAAAATTACTTTTCACATGAATACCCGAGTTGTAACACAAAGCCAAATTTTAATAGTGAAAACATTACTTATACAAGTGCCGAGTTCGATAGCTGTCGTAAATATAATCAGTATTGAATAGTTCATCAAAAGCTACTAATTAAATGACTTTGTGTATCGGGAGATACTTTGCGTAGTGGGAAAATAAATTTATTGCATAAATTTTCACTCATTACTCGTCCCTTTGATTTGATGTAACTAATATTTAACTCAAAGGGCCGGAAAGTCAGCGCGTGTAATAGTAGTATAATCAAATGATCGAATAAACGGAAGTGCCAATCAGAATCGTCTTTTTGGCCCAAATACGCTATGTGCAAAAACAATCCATAAATACATAGAGACACTAGCAATAAATAAACGAAGAAAAGAATGGATTTATGACATTATTAAACGCATCGTCGCGCTTTTCTTTGTCTTGCAATAAAAAAAAGTCACAACAGAACGCACTTGCAGTGTTGTAATGAAAGTTGACTATGACTGACGCGCACGAGACGTAAAGCTGGAAATAAACAGAGAAATCGCGTTTGACGCGCGGCAAGAACGAATTGTAAGAGACAAAGACACGCAAACGGGGGGGGGGGTCTTGTTGTGACGTTATACCTCTATAAAACACAGACAAGAGGGGAGCGCACGACTCGGAGGGGAATCCTGTTTTCCGCGTCTTTTCACCGAGGAATACTTAATCCAGCCGGATTGACGCGCTCACCGTGTACCACCAGTGCTCTTTCTTTTTCTCCCCTGAAGAGTACGTCTCTTTTCATTTATGTAAGCTACGAGTTGAGCTCGCAATGAGAGTCGTTCTTACGTATTCCGAGACTTTTTTTTCTTCCCTCACCCCCCTTTTTTTCTGTATCTAGGATACAGCATCTTTTCTTCGTTGCAGGAGGTGACGATTAGACATACGACGAGGTACACACGAATAAAAAAGGAATGTAATTGCTTTGAATTTCCGTAGTTTTAGTAGTAGTATAAACGCGTAAAAGCTGAGATGGAGTAGTACAGTTCAGATTCGAGAGGTAGTGGAAAGCTTTGATGTGCAGGGGGGGGGGGGAGTGTTGGCGAATCGCGGTGGAGTGGAAAGATTTTTCTTTTTTCTTTCCTTCGCGTGCTTTTGATGTCGAGAACGTGCAAGAGAGGGAGGGGGGGGGGCGTGGAGCTGGTGAAAGCGTGTTTTTGTCGATGTTTTTAGGGTTCGAGAGTAAGTATGCAGGTAATCGAGCTAAAAGTGTCGCTTGCCTGCCTGCTTGGTTGCTTCAAAGGATGTGTAGGACAAAGTATAGCGCTCGTAGTTTTAAACATCGTTAGGATTATCTTTCTAGCCCGGTGTTAATTTTCATGGAAATAATTGGGTTTTACTTTAGTTTTACGGGTTAGCAGTGGTGGTGGCATTTACTGTACAATCATAAAGATGATAATTTTATTGCAAATACGAAGAAAGTACGCACTTTGTGACAATTCAGTTTGGACTTGCGTTTTTGCTGCAAGTAAACTGTGATCGATGGTAATGATGAATATTTTCTCCCGGCAATTTATTTCTTTCGCTTAAAAAATAAATTTTTTTCATATCACGACGAGGGTTGGGCGGCGAATCAGGAGCAGAGAAAATTATCCGAGATTGCAGATCGTAAGTTTCGATTTCAGAAGTTTCCATGGCGCTGCATTTTGCATGCATAATCAGAGCGAGATCGATTATTTTAATCGAGCGGCCAAAGGGAGGGATTTTCATCCCAGGGTCGCGTTCGAATCCATATCAATAATAATGCCCCGTTTGTGCGCGTAATTGCAGCTTTCACGTGGAAAGGACCTGTGAAATTTCATACGAGAAAAAAAACTTACATACAGATGGACGTACGTACGAAACGAAAAGCCTCGTGTTTTGAAATTCACTGCTACGGTGCATGACCCAATTAACAAGCACTGTCCCTACTATCGAAGGTCCGAGTCGTTATTATATGCATGTTTGTGTAAGTATTAAAGTAAATCGGGTCGTTAAGCACTTTAACTTTTAAAAATCCAAAGTTTGCCAATAAAGCTCACACGTTTAATATTAGTTTTATAATATTTACCAAGAAGATCTTTGATGATTGAGCCATCTACCGAATACTTAACATGATAATGTTGAAGAAAAAAGTTATGGGCAAAGTTGACTTTGAAAAATCATTGGAATGGCTCGTTTTGAAAGGAGTAATGGAAAACTCGAGCAATTGATGTAGATAAGAAAAAAAGAAATGGGGGAAAAAAGTAACAACAATATTTCCTGCATCGTTTTCATACATCAGTTTCGTTTTAAAACGTTGTGTGATTAAAAGTTGTTATCTCTGATGATTACACGACACCACGGCTGGACTTTACTTGCTTAAAAGAGTTTTACATTTTTTTCATTCGACAAAAATTATACCCTACGTTAAAATATACATACATCCAACAATACAAGTATTCTAATAGTAATGATAGAGTAGCGCGATACAATCTACGAGGCAGAATGAAAATTATAAAAAAAAAGAGAGAGAGAGAAAAAATAGCCATTACGCCATCGTGCATCGATAAGTAAGTAAGTACCTTTCTGCACGAGGCATAGCGGTATTATACGTATAGTATGACCTGGCAACGTGTTATTACCCTCAAAACACTTTTTCCATCCCCCTGTTTCTCTATCCCCGTCTTCTCCGGTGTACCTATATATTTTTCAACGAACCTATAAAATACGCTGTATAAAATAAAGCTAAGGGAAGTGCCATTCTTGTAGATACAAATATACGGTACAGCGTCAAAGATTATGTCGTTGGTGAATACAATTAATTACAAACACAAACAATTAAAAATTACCGCACCCATCAATGATTGGTTATAATATTTTTTCAAACAGAGCACAATCTTTTAATCGAATTATTTGCCGAAAGAAAAGTATATATAANAAAAAAAAAAAAAAAAAAAAAAAAAAAAAAAAAAAAAAAAAAAAAAAAATACGGCTCCATAAGTTATCTGGGGGTCTAGTTCGTCCATCGTAGAATGAAGGTAAGAGATACGAGTGCTGGGGTGACAAATAGATGATGGCCTGCCGCTCTCGTTTCGCGGGGCTGAATTAACGAGGCAGCGGTGGGTCCAGGGTAAATAAATGACTCACCTCGATGTTGTTGATGTACCACGTCAGGGTGGCGTGTGGCTTCGACGGGGCTGACGTGCAGTTCATGCGCACCAGGTCGCCTAGCTGGTACTTCGACTTGCCCCCGCTGATTATCGGCCCGTCCTTCGGCAGCACTGCAGCGTCACCAGCAGCCAAATGAATCGGAAAACAGAGCCAACAAAACAATGCTTTAGTATACGATTATACGTGCAAGTGTTTTTCTGCTACACTTCACTTTTTTTTTTCATCACAAGCTTATTTTTGACTGTGATAAATTTTAGAGTGCCGTTTTCATTTGAATGGTGAAATAATGTTGTAGTGTATTAATTAATGTTATGTAATTATGGATAAAAAATAATAGTGTCTGAGAATTAGAGTACGACAACCTTACGTTGAATTCAATATGGCATATAAGGATAAAGAGTAAAAAACGTCAAACGTCAATTGAGTATGGCTGAAAAACCAAGATGGTCAATTGCTTCCTCAACCTTCTTGAAATAGGTAGGTATACCAAATGGAAAGGATTGTGGAGTAGAGTACAACGAGCCGAGTGACTTTAGAAATTTTGTAGGGATCCTCTACATAAATATTGAGGTTTCTTTGTACCGTTTTTTGGACATTCCTGGTCGAGGTCTTTGAGAGAAGAAAAAATGTAATCATTAAAGAAACAGAGGGACCACTTTTACGCATTTGGTATAAAAAACCAAATTCTTTTTCACATAAAAATCCGAGTACTGCTATATAGCTTATTAGCCGCAAAATACGTATACAACTCCAGATACGCTCCCTTTTTTTCCTCCCGGAGGCGTTTCGTCAAATCAACACGGCTATGCTATAAGCTGTCTGCAGAGGACATATCCAGTGCACGGGTATTATATGTACAAACATACGCAGACTGACAGACGCGCTAGTGGCTACGGATGGTTGGGCGATTCTACGGGCTACGGTTCTGCACCCCTCCCTTCTTCCCTCTCCGTTTAAGTGGCGTGTGCGAATTCTCGGGTGATTGACGCCCATGTGCCAACATCCGCCCGACCAGTCTCCCTCACACACACACGTGCACCATTTAATTCTGCCGCGGTCTGATTAAAGGGCTATAATCTGCCGAAACCGCGTGACCACGTTCTTTTTTTGTTGGATCTTCTATTTTAATTCTCGGTTAACACGAGATCGTGAATTTGCGATTAACTCCCGCACACGTGTTGAAGTAATTCCATCGAATCAATGAGTTCAGGAAATTAGTTGTCGTATCGTTTGGGGAGTCTGTCCACGTTTTGCTTGTATTGGCAAAATGTAAAAAAAAAGCAAAAAACCATACGTATTACTTATTTGTAAGGATTAACGATGGATTCAAAAAATGTTGTGCATCCGAGTCATTGAAAAATGCTATAGTAAAAGAATCGTTTTTCCTACACACACGCAATAACTTGCATCAAACACCGTGTTTTCACCACAAATATAATTGGATGGGTTGTCGATCATTAATAAAAAAAATCGAAGCAAAAGAATCTATCCTCCGTTAGCCGGCCGTTATGCCAATCGGTGGAGATCTGCATTGAAAAGACCAAGAGAAAGAGAGTCTTGCATTGCTGACGAGACAAAAACGGACAAGAAAAAACAAACATGCGTGTCTGCACTTTTACGTACAATTGCTCGTTATAGTTCTGGTGTACGAATATTTACGTGATGTACGTAACAACCCACGAATTTTCTTTGCCGACAATAATCATCTTTTTGCTATTTGGAGCTATGAAGATGCCTCTTGATTAAACGTCACCGTGTGCATTCAGAAGGCTCGGCGGGTACAGGAAGCAGCTGATGATTTTCGCAGCACAGTGCACCTTTGTGTGCAGCGTTTGGGGAAAAAGGGGTCGCGAAAAATAGATGGCACACAGAGCTTTCAGTGCTGCCGTATTAAGGAACACGTGTATGCCTCACGTATGAAGAAAAAAAAAATACCTAAAAAAGCAAGACAGAAGGAAGATGTATGCGTAATACACTGTGCAAAGCTACCTCATTTCAGCGAAGGGACGGTAATGGAGGGGAACAATTTTTCGTGTACATACAAGTAAAGGAGAAAAACATTTCTCGACAAGTGTGGATGCTTCTTTAGTGTGCCGAGAAAGTGAAAAAAAAAAAAAAAAAAAAGAAAAGTTGGTTCATACACGTGAAAGGGAGGAGGTGGAAAAGCGCGAGAATATTTTCGTGGACGTGGGAGTCAAAAGTGTCTCGCCGCCCCGCTTCGCGTCGTTTCTTTCGTTGTACGCGAAGTAAGTGTAGTTGTAAGTAGCGAAAAAAGAAAAAAAAAAAGAATAAACGTGAAGAAGGGAGGGACAAGCAAAGTACTCCGGAAGTTTGTTTCTTTTCTCTTTTGTCATGTGCTCGTTTACACGTGCACTACTAGTGCGATGTGACGCGACGTCTGTGTTACCAACTATACACTTTCATTCACGGCTTCCTTGGACGCATGTAAGCGTCGAGATTTTTGAAAAGCTTGAGGTGGAGTAGAAAAAAAATATTTTAGTCGCACATTCATACTTTTTTTTGTGTCAGAATAAAAACAAGGGGTGTGCCAATAAGAAATACTCGCAGAAAATGGATTTTTAAACTTGGAAAATGTGTCACGTAAAAAGTTAATCATGTCTCCAGACCTTACAGTGTAGACGCATCCTTACCTCGTATACGATACTCTCATTGTTTCCAGATAAGAAAAAATCAAACGTTACAATAATTAGACACTAAGGTGCAGCATAGCTCTACTAAAGTGCATGTGTATGTTTTCGTGTGACATATACATGTCTGCGAACGTGTAGACCCGCACATAGCTTACTCACCGACTACGACCAAATCGCTGTGGTCCGAAATGGTGTTGAAGGCAGGCGCTTCGCCGGACACCTCACACCTGTACCGGCCACTGCTGTCGAGGTTCACTCGGTGGATGACGACCGATCGCTCCGAGGAGCTGTGCTTCTAAAAAATCAAAAGAAAAACACATTTAGCTGGGGGTAGAGATAAAGAGAATGTTCTTTTTTCTGGTGTTGGGGGGAAAACTGGGGAGGAGATTTTTTTGAGATTGGGAAAGTAAAGGATGATAACATACATGGATAATATACAAGGGCAAGTATGGGGGTAATAGTGTCATCTCGAATTTTATAAGCGGTTATAATAGTAGTACGATATTATGATTAGTAAAATAATAAAACTATAAAAGGTTGTGAATGTGCCCTTAAAAAATGTATGGTTATTACATGTCATATTGGCTTAACGTAGGATTATAAATCAGGCCGAAAACCATTTTCATGTGCTTTGTTTGAAACTCATTTATCTGTCCAAAAATTTATCTGAATCTAAAGTAACAGATATTGGTAGAGTTGGGGCTGGTTTAAAAAATTTTTAATTCATACCATCCCGTAACTTTTCACCTGTAAAACAATGGCTTATTTATCTTTTCTTTGCTAAAGCTCCTAATAATAATCGATAATTTTATGTGTATTTGGGACTACGGACTCTCTTGATTGGTTTCTATTATTCAAGAATAGAAATTAATTGTTTTATCTGATAAAAATTATTTATTATATAACACTAGCTTATTGCCTCTTCATGTAGAGCAAAAGTATCGTTTATAGAAGCACAATTATACCATATGCATTAAAAAAGCATGAACAGCATGATTGCAGAATATCACGGTACTCCAAAGTTTTTGAGTACAAATTTACGGTTCCTTATACGTATAAATTCAGTGTCGCATTTTTACTCATTGAATGTGAAATTGTCGAGTATTGTATTTATATTTTCTAATATCTTTGGAAATGTTTGCCCAAACGAAATCTGGGAAATTCGTTGTGACCTCAAAATGTCGGAAATCGAAACAGTCTACGAGTGCATAGAGACACACACGCGTCAGTTTTAAATGGGTTTTCCATTCAAAAGCCAATACTTTGGGGGCCGATACGCGAAACCTCAAATTGACTTTGAATATTTCGCCGAAATGGAATAGAAATACATCTCCGGTCTACTTTGGTAAAATACAAAGCTTAGTTGGGACCCCAGCGATAGGATTTGTTTGCACGTGTACCCGCGTGGAAATCCATACCATCGGGCATGTACGTATACATGTTGTATGCATCGAAAATACATTGTGAATGTACGGGAAAAACATTTCCAATATATTGGAATACGAAGAAAACTTTCATGTGGGGATGGTATTTTTTTCGCTTTTAGCGCTGCTTTTTTTTTTACTAATGATGAAATTTTAACAAAAAGGGCAAAAACATGAAAAAAAATTCATTCACGAATTCTCTGAACCCCCGATGTTTTGAGTCTTTCTTTGATCCATGATATTTTCAGTCTTTCTTTATTATATATATGTATATATGTATTCCGGATACTTTTTCTTACAATATACATACATTCCTACAAATAGATAGGTTTGCATGTACTCTATTCTCGTACTGCGGTTTATTATCTATGAATTTTTCATACCACCCGATGCTGCGATAAGTTTAGACGGAACGAAACAGTGACTCGAAATCCTGTTATTGAGGGGCTTTATGGTTCCGTTTTATCAGAAATTGGCGTACACGATTAAATAGCCCGCATTAAATGGCACATCAAGTCAAGTATCAATGAGTTTGAAACGCCAGTTTTAGTTTCATTATTAATAAAAAAGTCTTCGTTCCTGTATATGAACGCCCTCAAATCTAGGTCGCACAATAAGTGACACGGAGATTGCGAGAAAATAAAAGTTTAGTAATTTAAAGTAAACCATACAATCGACTATAAAAAAGAAAAAAAAAAAAAAAACGGACGCACGTATATAAGTTAACAAAGCTATAAAGGACATTTGGCGAGTGTATATATACACGCGTACGCGAGTAACGAGGAGCATCGGATTACACCCTTCCTCGTAGTCCCTTTTTCGCGGCGGGGTAGCGTGTACTGAAAATGATCATTTACACGAAACACAATCAAACCCGAGATCTCGAGGAGGGTGGGGCGAGCGACTCTCTCAACCTGGACCCACAGCGGGACGCGGCTAAAATACTTAAATCCCGCGCCTCGGCCCGCGCAGATAAAGAAGAAATATACTCACTCGCTATCGCTGCTGAATCTCATATTCTAATGCTCGGTGGTGCTGGTAAAAAAAAAAAAAAAAAGGAACAACTCGAGGGTGGCCCGTGTAATCTTCAACGAAGACGGAAATTTAAGACATGATATGTTTATTTATTACGTCTTGGGGTGCGACCCCGTGAGGTCCGTGTCACGATGGAGAATGAAAATTTCATTTTGTTTCATTTTGCGGCAACCAAGAAAGATAAACCCTCTGTTGTAATTAATGACCGCTCTCGATATGAAGGAACAAGAAGATTGACAGACAGATAGCCAGTACCAGGTGATATTATAGGCAATCAATTAACCAATGGTTGCTTTCGGGAAAATTACAATAACACGTAGTCATATGGAAATAATTACAATTGTTGGAAACAGTTGTAACGCATCACGAATAAATGACAGCCACTACAGAGTTTCATTCAGTTATACTTTTGCCTGATTTCCATTTTCTTTCGAGCAGTACTCAATATTTACTGTGTAGGATAGCCATGGGATCATGACCATACTTTGTACAGGGTTGTAAAGTGAAGAATCTTGTGGGACTTTGGTATTTTCATTGATGCCAAGAAGACTAGGGTTACTAGAATACCTTAAAATGTAACAAGTCTCCGGTATGGGAGCTGGCCAGAATATTCTCGTGATCGATCAAAGTCATTTTCCAAAATCCGAGAGATGGAGAGTAGGAGCTAAGCTAAATACCATTGCAGAGCCATACAATTTGCAAATAAGAACAGCCTGAAAATGTAATTCTCAAACAAGAAATAACGTAGTACAACCACGTATATTGTCAGACACGTCTTCCTCGTAGAACAAGTTTGAGATTTTATTAGCTCCACCCGAAGCTTTTTCCATTAAAAACAAAAAGGAGAATCTTACAACCTACAATTTGGATGAGAAAGTAGTATAACTACGCGTTTGGTCAGCCATTTATTTTCATCTAACAAATGTAAGTGTTAAAAGTTAAAAGCCTCAAAAAATTAAATTTTTGACTACGTATGTTTACCCCAATAAAGGTATCTTCACATCTTTATAATAAAAAAAGTTATATTATATAAAATGGAAATATCATTTTGACCTGGTCATTGTTACTGATGGATAATTATCCACATAACAGCGTAAATAACAGAGCAGAGTCCAAAGTAGACCCAAAAATCGTGCAGTAGCCATACACGATGGACGTCCACTCCCAATCTTGTAATTTCTCCCCTAACCACCAAAAAGCCTTAAATTCACCAGTGGGTGCACTTTTTACTTGCAGTTTAGTCAGTAATAGCTTCCCGGAAGCCACCGAAAATACATCAGCAGAGCATATTTCACACCCGTGCCAGAGACACGTACACGAGAAGAACAATCACGTCCCCTACTTGTGGCCCTCCATCAAACCTCCTACGTATTCTCCCTTGGCACAAAAGCTCGACCCTCCACTTTCGAGGCTACCACACTTTGTTCCCATATGTATATTACAGCCGAGACGCGTCCCTGCACTCGCTGCATATATCTCTTTCTCGAGCAGCTGCAAAAATCGTCGTTTCGCACCAAAAGCGTCGCTACCTCGGACTGGCTATCCAGAGAGGAGCCATTATGTCCAAAAGTGGGAAGAGGCCAAGGAAAACGTTCCTTTTTCCGATAAACAAATGGAACGTGCTCCGGCATCACTTATCCGTCCAATGCGCGAAAGGGTCGGACCACTGACTCTGTCCTCCCCGACCTCCTCCTCCTCCCGAGGCAGTCGCACGTACAGATAAGGATAAAAGCGGCGCTGTGGCGGGAAATTACGAGTACCAGGTGTCCCGTCGCGAGAACAAAGGACGCGCCCGCGATTTCCCGACGCTTCGCGCTGTCCCTCCCTCCTCCTCCCTGTTTCCTAGTGTGCGCAAAGGGTAGGAATTGAGAGGGTGTCTGGCTGCTTTTGCGGAAAAGAAAGGGGGACAGGGGTGGTGCGGGGGAAAACGAGACGTTCTATTTCCAGGGCACGTTTCGGGCTCCCCGTGAGTTTGCGGGGCCCGAATTTACGGTCAAATCACGTCCTCGACTCGTTCCCTCCCCCCCTCCCTCTCGTGCACCCATGCTCGTTTTCTCTCACCGCCACTGCGAGCTCTTAACTTTTTTCCATTATCGCTTCGAGCAGCCAGTACCGCTCTCTTTCAGTTTTTTCCTTCTTCCTTATTTTTCGTCAAAAGGATACGATAGAGGCCATTGGTCGGCGAGGGTATAGCAGAGAGTAACGTGTACGTAGGATCAAAAGGTTACGGGGTAACGCTGCTTGGGGGAGGAACGCTATCGTGGTAATAGAGTTTTTTTTAATGCGCTGCAGATCGCCTGGATTTCTCGGGGCGCGTTACAATACCTGCACGTCCCGTTCGAGTTTTCGCGAGGGGGGAAAAATAATCGGGGGGTGTGTGTGTGTACGTGTATGGGCATATACGTGGAGGTTATTACTATCTGGCGCATTGGCACCGGGCGATGGAAACGAGGCCGCGCACTCGTTTAGTGTTTTCGAACGAGGCTTTTTAGGGGCACGTCGGTGGCCGTGTAATTGATAAATAATTGAGCGAAGCCAATTGTTTCGAGCGGATGGCTTTTGTTTCTCTCACCCAAGAGAGAGAGAGAGCTGTGGTGGATTATGCGTACAGGTACGGGCCTCGCATATCTATATACAATCGTTTGGGTACGATGATTTCATGACTTTCTGACGCAATGACGTATTTTCTTTGTCATTCTACCGTATATTATTTTTTCTTTGTCGATATTTTTATCGTTCATAATAACGTGCACATTACCTTTTACATTTTGCGTAATTTAAACCAGATAGGGGGAGTATGTAAATTTCCGCCTAACGGGCCATTTTATTAAAATTT